GTATGAGGAGGCTGCCCTGGTATATGATAGTTGATACAACATTGATGCAGTCATAGAAAATGAATGAATAAACTCATCTTCAAATATGTAGAGGATACCAGTACCTACTTCACAGGATTACTGTGATGCCTAAATGCTTTATGGTTACAGCACTTAGAAAACTGCCCCATTCACAGTGAGCAGCACATAAGTACTAGCTATTACTGTCAAGTGAAAAACTGAAACTCCTCTCCTACTGCTTGCAGTATCTTACAAGATGGAACAGTGATGAAATTGCTGGGAAGACTGACACAATTATTGAAATTGACAAAAACAACAGGAAGAGTCGACAGTACAGGACAGGAAGGGGAACCAAGAGGGAACTGAGGAAAGGAACAGGGAGATGCCAACTGGGGAGAAATGTGGGCTCAGTAGCGGGGTAGAAACAGCCTTGGGAGACATCCTCCTTTAGTGAAATTTTGTATTGTTTCTAATGCGGTTTTTTTTTTTCTATTACTATTTTGTATTCTTTAAAAATTAAAAAAGAAGTCCATTATCAGGAATGTAGTTTGGGGAAGGATACCTAACTGTTAGGTTAATGAACACTTCTAGACTAAAGTGCTAATATTATCATCTTTCCTGGATATGATCTCCTGAGGTCAATGTCCTCTTGGTGCTTCAAGGCCAAGATGAAGAACAAGGCTTTGTCAAAAGGAAGCAGAACAGATCCAGAACATTGAATACTGTTGTGCCTTCTTTGTTGGCAACACTGTGGTAGCCCAAGAAATACTGAATACTGAGATAAGTGAAATTGAGGACTTCTACACATAGGTTCCCAGCTGGTAAAAATATGTGTGATAAATGCTCATTTGAATTAACTACTGCTAGCACCCACTATGTGCCAGAAGACACACAGAGGCCCAGGTACCAGCAAATAAGGACTGGCAACTAAAGCGATACAATCAAATGCTGCGGTTATTCCAAAAAGCGTGAAGCCAAACACATACCCATATAGAGCCATGAAAAGGGGAAAGTAGGAAAAAGACCTTTAAAGGAGTGTGTTCCCTGAAGCAAGGCTTGAAAACTGATTGTCTTTATAGACACAGAGGAAAAGCAACTGAAAGAAACAATTGGAGCAAAAAGGAGTGAAAGAGCACAGAACTTTTTGGTGGCTTGTGGTCTGGTATACCTAGAATATGGGTAAGTGAGGGGGTGAGGAAGAGGCGGGGAAGGCTAAAGCAGAAGGAAGTGACAAGAAATAGGGTTGGGGAAGTGGGTTAAAGCAAGTTTGTGAAGGTACAAAATATATCAGTGAAATCATATATTTATCAAAAGAAAATACTTCATGCTATTTTTATACAAAATCTTCTATGAAAATAAAACTGCAAGATTCTTTCTTTGTTTTCACTCTCTTTTCCTGTCTTCCTCTTTCTGTCTCTCATTTTCTCTCTTTCAAAAAGGTGAGTGTAAGATCCCTTTGGTCAGCATGAAAGTCTGCTTATAGTCTTCTCCATTGGAGCCAAGCATTCTGCCCCGGGGCCTGATCCGTGACTGACACGGCCAGCCCAGTACCTGGAATCCTGGCCATCTTCTGCTCCTTCCTAACTGCCCAAATGCTCATGAGTGTGGGACAGCCCCTTTGAATCCTAAACTCACTCTTGTCCTGAAAATGTAGTTAAGGGGATTCAGTAAGGTTCTGCAGTAAGAGTGGCTACACATCCGAAGTACTTCAAAAACACCCAGTGTTACTAATTTAGCCAGCCTTCCATAAACACAGGGTCTGCATCTACAGATTCAATACGCTTTAGACAAAAGTTCTCCTGAAAAAAATATCTGTACCAAACATGGACAGATTAAAAATATAGTACAACAGCTAGGTACATAGCTTTCATATTGTATTAGGTAGTCTAGAGATGATTTAAATTACACAGAAAGATACATGCACATTCTATGCAAATACTGTGTCATTTTTAAATAGATTCGGGCACCTGCAGATTTTGGTATTCACAGAGGTCCTTTTCCCATCTGTATTTAAATGAGACAAACTTTTTAATTTCCCCTTTCCAAAAGTTTCAAAGATGAAATTATAAATAAAATTATAACACTGCAATTGTTCCTCTCATTGCTGATTGTTTCAAGGCATAATTTACGAAGGAGATAAAACTTTAATGCTACAAAGAAAAGCATTCTGATTACTGATGAGCCCTCCTCCTAAGCACCCGGGTGTTCCGCACAGCAATGCCTCTTCAAAAGATCAGACCTGGAAGATTCCTTCCCGACAGAATGGGGGTGAATGTTAATAATCTACTACCAAGTGGATGCTTTAGCATCTAAATTTGACTTAAATTAACTTTTTACTCTTTTTTAAATGCTAGGAAATACCTTTCTTCAGATCTTAATTTATTATATTTTCATTACTATTTCTACTGAAATAAGACCACGTATTTTTCATTCTTGTCTAGGGTTAAATCTCCCTTCGTAAGTCCCACAGTTTTGCTAGTTTAAAATTCTTCTGGCAAAACGTATAGAGCAATATTGATGGCCACATTTTGCAACTTCACAAATTCACATTATTAGATAAATGCTAATTCTATTCAAATATGCATATATATTCAAATGTGTCTTTAAAAATTTTACCTGACAAAAACCAATTATAATTTATTATAAAATTGAATCAAGATATGTATCAGGAGTCATCTTTCTTATTTACTGAGAGTTTTTCAAAACATTGTCCTGAGGACTCATTTATAAAACAAGTTGCTGATACTTGATGAAGAAGCATTGGATTTTGACAAGTATGCTGATTAATGTACAAACTTTAAATCAGAATCATTTTTATTTATCCCCCGTTAATGGTACATAGTATTTTTGATGGGGATAATTAAATAAAAGTTTATACTACAAAATTCAAAGTCTCTCAGCAAAGTTTCTAGAATAAATATCTCACATCAACTTTATGAGAAATTCTATTCTAGATAGCAGTCTTCTTCCATAGTTTAACAGAGTATTCACTTGCATGGCCATAAGCATTAACAAATAATTCAGATATTCCTACAAAAACAGTACAACTGAACAATTGAAATTTATTTTGTTTTTAAAGAAGGAGGACAAAAAATAAATAAAGGAGACTTCTAATTTTGTGTAGTTATTAAGCATACCCATTAAAAACCTTTGGTGCCAAATCACTCAAATAATCAGCATCATTCAATAATATAAGGCCTGGGATGCTAATTTGGCCACTAAAGTACTATAAAGAAGTTTTTCAGAAAAACAACCACAGTGGCTAAAATTAAACTACCCCCATTACGCCAATGAGCAGTGCAGTCTAAATGATCAATATGTACTTTCCAGAAAAGTTTTAAAGTAGATAAAAATCACAGTAATCAGCCATCCTGAAATAAAGCAATGGACATAAGTCAGAACATAGTTTGGCTAAAAAGTGGGGGAGATCCCATTGTTTTGGGCGAGTGATAGCTGATTAACATGAGAAGGACTCAACCCTGGCAGCTCAGGGTCCCCATCTAGGGCGTTTATACAAGGTGGCTACACATTTCCTGGTCCTCAGAGGGAGGCAGGGGTTCAGGTGACAGGTGCTCTCAGCTCTGTCCCCTGACAATAAGAACCACAATCCACAGAAACAGGCAAACACCATCACATGCACTTAGAAAGGACAAAAAGACATAAGGAGAATTTACCTTGTACAAACTGTCCTTGGTTGTCCTGGTGTGCGACCAGAAACACCCTTCTTTCTGATCTGCAGAACAGCTTTGTCAAGCCTGAGTGTGTGGTCACAAGGCAGGAAGTGACTAGAATGACAAATCATCAGCCAGGAAAGAAATAGATTTTGTCTTTATAAGGACATTTTACTTAACTTTGTTTTCTCCTGTCCCCTCCCCCTAAAAAAAATCACCTGACAGAATAGGTCACACTGAAATTCAGACGCCTCTTACCACTTCCTCTTAAGCTTTTTTCTACCTCCTGTCCTGCCCTTCCCTCGCAGCTGACTCTAAGTAGGCCCTGGGCTACTTAAGCCTTCCTGATCTCAGATAGCAAGGGAAGGTCAGCCTGCTATCTTAACTCTTTTTGTCTGACTCTCATTGCAAAAGCAAAGCCCAGGTGCTTACCTACTTTAGAGCACAGATAAGCAATTATTCATTTTTAGTTAAAAAGCCAAGAAAAAAAGGTAACTGTACACTTGAGACAAACCAAAAGGGAATAATTCCTAGGGAGCCCCAGCCCATCCTAAACCAAACTTCTCTCTTGAGTGCTCTAACCAGGATCCTAATGGTGTAAACAAAATGAAATGATCTTTTTAAGAGAGGGCACTGAACAGGAAGGTTACTATATTATTTACCCGTGCTTTTATTTATAGCACACCTATGTGCTAAGAATCTCTTTAACCCAATTAAAGATTTTAATTATTTAGATGTTTCCTATAAACAACAGCAGTAGGTCACACTGGCAGCCACTGTTGTTAAGTAGGTATCTCAATTCCTTCAAACAGACCAGATGTTTTTTTGATGTACATTTTATAAAATCATCACAGAAGTGAGATGCAGTTCAGTCTATGTCCAAAACCCAGATACTTATCTTGAGAGTAAACTTCTATCTTTACATGGAAAATTCTCAAGCACTCACAGTGATTCTGAAGATTGTGCATCTCCCTGAATTATGTTTGTTGAGTATTACGTAGTCTCTACTCTGCTGGAGGCTGTGTGGTTCAAGTAGTAACCTTGCTGGTTAGCAATGAGTGCACACTGTGTGGCTGGGGAGCTCAGATGGTGAGTTGAGAATCCTCTGTAGCCCTTCATTTCTGTCGGTGGTCATAGTGTCAAGAGGTAGCAGTGCTGATTTGGAGGGGGGGAATGCCCTTATACTTCCTTTGCTTCTTTCATTCATGCTCTAGAAAGCTACTGCTTCTGATCTCAAATGTTAAACCAAACTGTTCTCGGTTAGCTCGCTCATCAGCCAGTGGCATGCTGACTCTTCAGCAGAAGTAATACAGTCCATGTGGAGAAGCGGGCAGTCAGCAAATGGGGAGATATGGAACAGATTCAGGCTATCAGTAGTTCTAGGTAGAGAGCAGAGAATTGTCAATCCCCAGAAAAGACTGAGGAGATGAAAGTGTTTCTCCTTTGAATGATTACTCCCAATTAGTATGTTATAGAGAGGGCTTAGAGGAATCCATGTTTTTTTTTCCAGCTATCAGGGAAATATCCATGCGCTACTCTTGTGATACTGATCACAACACAGAGCAGCAAAAAGCTAGTGATTTCCAACCTAGTGGAAACAGCATCCACTCAGGTCCCTGAAAAAGGACCCATAAGTGGTGCCCAAGCAGTTTTACAAGTGAAATGTGTGCAACTGGACTCCCTCACCTGGTCCCACATCCTTGCAGCTTTAGGATGGAATGAAGGTCCAAACCTTCATAAAGGGGAACAGATAAGCATTTAATTTACCTGAGAAAAGAAAAGCAGCAGCATTCTGTACCTACTGGGATCTGGTCATGTGAGGCTCAAGAAATCTATGAAGAAAAGCAAGACATATTTGTTCATGGGTTCCACAAATGTGTGGGAGCCATCAGAATTGGCGACTGAGACAGAAGTGAGACACAGTCATTGATCTCAAGGAACATGATGACAATAAGGAGGCAAACATGTGAGCAAACAAATGCCATCTAGAATAGAGGGGTGGGAAAGAGCGATTTGAATACAATTGATATGTGAAGACAGTGAAATAGGCATAGTTGTGACTAGCAATTGGTTCAAGTAAAAGAAAGGATGTAGGATTACAGACAGTGCCTAGATTGTGGAGGCTGAAAGCCACTCAGCTGCACACTTACCACCTCATCCACAGGGGCCTTTGCTACTTTAGTGTGAGCTCAGCGCTGACTCCACATCAGCCGCATGTCACCCCATGAGCCACATCCGGACTTCACCATTTCAAGCCCCGCCTTGCTCTCTCAATCTCTTTATCTATCTTAGTTGGTGTAAAGCCCAGGTGCAGGCAACTGTTTAAATCTTAGACCCAGATTTTTTCAGAAAAGAATATTCTATCATTGCCCAAGTTCAAAAATAACTCCTGCATCAAAATAAAAAGAAGCCTGACTTCTGGTTTTACTGTTACATTTAGATCTCTACAGACAATGCACTCCTGCCTAGCCTGTACCCAGAGAGGACTTCTCTGCATCCCACGCCTGAGACACCTCTCCTGCCACCTCTCCCAGGTCCTCACCGGCCCCTGCCCTGCCTGCCCACCATCCCCCACCCTCCTCCATCAGTGCTCCCAGGCCTGCTCTGATGGCCCCTGCCCTAGTCTCAGGGCTGCTGAGGCAATCACAGAAACACAGACTTGGAATGCTGTACAGTCAAGCTGTTTGCCTTTGAGTTACTTCTCAGAAATGCTTTTATTCAACTGTAGCAATTCCTGGGAGAAGGTATTTCCAACCTGGAGTCCCCAGACTCCTAAAATTATATCCAAAATGTTGCATACATGTTCTTTTTTTCTAGGGAAAAGGTCCATCCTATTATTAATCATATAAAAGAAATTGGACCTGAAAAGGTTGTAAATCTATTTATTTATTTATTTATTTATTTATTTATTTGGTACAGAGTCTCACTACACAGCCCAGACTTGTAGTGATCCTCCTGTCTCAGCAACCCCAGCACAGGTGTGTACCACCACACCCAGTTTCAGTGGCTGGCATGGTGCAGGGCCAGCATAACATGGGGTACCAGGGATTGAACTCAGGTCCTTGCACTTGCCAGGCATGTGCTTAGACTGTCGAGCTATCTCCCCAGCCCTATGAATCTATTCTAAACACTGTCCTTTGTCTCAATGGCCCAGTCCATACTCCTATAAACTGCCTGGCACAAGATTCCTCTGTTACCCCTTCCCCTCAACCATTGCAACAGTCTAAAGTCCTCTGGCATGAGCATCCTTTTCTATCTGCCTTTGTACCCCAACTCCTCTCCTCTCTTAGAGGAAGGGGCTCCTCCTTCTTAAAGTCAGTAGTTCTTCCCTACAGTCCTCTATTCCTAAGAGACCCTGTTCCAACAATGATCTCATGGCTTTCTAGCACCCTTAGTCTCTAATACTCTCCCCACTTCCTCTTCCTGCACTCATGGGATTTGTAGGAACAGAAAATCTTTTGCTTCATCCTACTACATCCAACATTGGAGGCCCAGAAAACGATGGCAGCTAAGATATGCACAGTCCCTGGCTTTACAGAATGTCCACTGTAGTTGAGAGTACAGGTGTGCAGAAGGATGAGCAAAATTTAGCCTGCTCAAAACCATGACAGATGAGGAGCAGAGTGCATGTGGGAACACACAGCACTAACCCAGGCATGGGGCCATGGAGGCAGGTCAAGGGGTGGCTGCGTAAAGGTATTGCGCCAGCCACCTTGGGCAGATCATGCATGTCACTGGCCTCACAGTCTTCATCTAGAATAGGATAGCAATAGTGTTTTATACAGTTGTTGTGAAAGTTAAACAAGTTGATGCATGCAGACAGCTTAGTTCCTGTCAAATATCTTTTAATTATTATGCCAGGCCCCAGACTAAACCCTTAACATATATTATTTTACTCATTCCTCACAATAGCCATTTTTGTTTTTCTCAATTTTTAAATAACATCATTATTAAAATATGATTCACATGTCATAAAAGTCATCCTTTGAAAGTGTACAATTCAGTAGTGACTAGCAATATTTAAAAAGTTGGACAACCATTCCCCCATAGGATTTCAGAACACAAAAGGAAACCCTATGCCCATTAGCCATTACTCCCTATTTACCCCCATCTCCCAAGTCCCTTGCCTATTTTCCACTAGTTTATTTTTTGTATCTATAGATTTGCCTATTCTGGTCATTTCATCCAAATGGTCCTTTGAGGCCAGTCTTTTGCACTGTGTGTTTTCAAAGCCTGTCCATGCTGTAGCAGGTGTCAGTATTTCTTTTTATAGAGGAATATTTTTCACTGTATGAGAATATACCCCATTTTACTACTTGCTCATCAACTAATGGCCATTTGGATAGCTTCTATTTTTTTTTGATAGAATGAATAATACTGATATAGACATTTTTATATCCATTTTTGCATGCACATAGGTTTTAATTTTTTAATTAAAATACTTTACACAGTTGTAGAAGTCAAAGACTACCCAAGGCTTATTATAAAATAACCTTCAGACCATACATGTGTTCTTCACCTGATTACTCAGAAAGAACTTTATGCTGCTCAGCTTGGTATTTCAAGATGTTATGCAAACACTATATCTTTTTTTTTTTTTTTTTT